TCCTCTACACAGACCTGTCCTCTACACAGACCTGTCCTCTACACAGACCTGTCCTCTACACAGACCTGTCCTCTACACAGACCTGTCCTCTACACAGACCTGTCCTCTACACAGACCTGTCCTCTACACAGACCTGTCCTCTACACAGACCTGTCCTCTACACAGACCTGTCCTCTACACAGACCTGTCCTCTACACAGACCTGTCCTCTACACAGACCTGTCCTCTACACAGACCTGTCCTCTACACAGACCTGTCCTCTACACAGACCTGTCCTCTACACAGACCTGTCCTCTACACAGACCTGTCCTCTACACAGACCTGTCCTCTACACAGACCTGTCCTCTACACAGACCTGTCCTCTACACAGACCTGTCCTCTACACAGACCTGTCCTCTACACAGACCTGTCCTCTACACAGACCTGTCCTCTACACAGACCTGTCCTCTACACAGACCTGTCCTCTACACAGACCTGTCCTCTACACAGACCTGTCCTCTACACAGACCTGTCCTCTACACAGACCTGTCCTCTACACAGACCTGTCCTCTACACAGACCTGTCCTCTACACAGACCTGTCCTCTACACAGACCTGTCCTCTACACAGACCTGTCCTCTACACAGACCTGTCCTCTACACAGACCTGTCCTCTACACAGACCTGTCCTCTACACAGACCTGTCCTCTACACAGACCTGTCCTCTACACAGACCTGTCCTCTACACAGACCTGTCCTCTACACAGACCTGTCCTCTACACAGACCTGTCCTCTACACAGACCTGTCCTCTACACAGACCTGTCCTCTACACAGACCTGTCCTCTACACAGACCTGTCCTCTACACAGACCTGTCCTCTACACAGACCTGTCCTCTACACAGACCTGTCCTCTACACAGACCTGTCCTCTACACAGACCTGTCCTCTACACAGACCTGTCCTCTACACAGACCTGTCCTCTACACAGACCTGTCCTCTACACAGACCTGTCCTCTACACAGACCTGTCCTCTACACAGACCTGTCCTCTACACAGACCTGTCCTCTACACAGACCTGTCCTCTACACAGACCTGTCCTCTACACAGACCTGTCCTCTACACAGACCTGTCCTCTACACAGACCTGTCCTCTACACAGACCTGTCCTCTACACAGACCTGTCCTCTACACAGACCTGTCCTCTACACAGACCTGTCCTCTACACAGACCTGTCCTCTACACAGACCTGTCCTCTACACACAGACCTGCCCTCTACACACAGACCTGTCCTCTACACACAGATCTGCCCTCCACACACAGACCTGTCCTCTACACAGACCTGTCCTCTACACCCACCAGCCCTCCACCCACAGACCTGTC